AACTTGACAAAAGGGTAAAAGTTCAGAATTTCCACATAGGGGGTTGTTTCTGGATGACAGACTTACACAAATATTTATGTACTTTAAGAGTTCTTGTCTATCCATCTGCTGAAACTCCAAATGATAATAAACTGATTGTCCTTTTGCTACAGTGACCCTGCTTTTTAGTTGAGAGAACAGTTGCTGATGACCAGTTTTCTTTTCTTGACTCCATTCTAATTTTTATTTCCTTTTTTGATCTCAAATCTTAAGAAGAATTTTTGTGGTTTTTTGCAGTTCAGTTTCTAAAGAGCATGTTGTGTCACAGCAGATAGGAGAGACTTTTAACATAAGTCATTGTCTCGACAAGTGAAGCTTTAGTAGCTGTTAAGTTCAGGAGGCTCGCTACCTTGTGCATAATTACAGCATGTTAAGTTTTAGTGATTTGTTATCAAGCGTTATAATTTGTGGTGTTTTCTGAATGATATTTAGACTGCTTGTGGACACTTTGAGAGTGTAGAGTGTTCCTGCATAAGCAGCTGCAATAGTTACAGTGATTGTTTAAAAAAAACTTGCACCTGTTTCTAGTTTCACATTCTAATTATTAGGTCTATTTATGGTTCTTGCTGGCAAAAATAGTCTAATCACGGATTCTTTTAATCATATTGCTTGTTTTAAAGTAGCTAATGCTGTAGTTTCATGGTACTTGAACCTCTGTCTTGAGACTAGAATAAGCTGTTGGGCTGAGTAGAAGGAAGCAGCAGCTTTCTGTTAGGTAAAGTTTTTGAAGACTTACTCAAAATACTCTATTTTAAGAATTTGCTTATGTTGCCTAGAAGCGGAGCGGGAGGGTATGGTTGGATAGGGAAACTGTTTGACACATTTTGGTATATGTGTTTATGCTGGGATTCTTTCCAATCTTGTATTTTTAGATTGATCCTTTCTGAGGTCTTTTTTTCTTAAACTCCAAGTATTTGAATGTAGTGCTATCTACTGCATTAAACTGTTGCTGACTTTTTTTATGCTGGATGGGGAGCTTGTTGGTGTTTGGGGGGGCTGATGCTCACACATTTCCAATCTTTTCATTCCCTGAACTTTATTCTCATTTTTCACTTAGTTCTTGTTGCTTAAGAACTCAGAAGAAACGTGGTATTGGTATTTAGGGGTGTGATTTTTCTTCCATTAGGGTCATATACTTGAATATATTTGGTAAAATATGTCTTCAGCTGGAATATAGAATGTGACATTTCTTGTAGCTCATGCTGTCCATCATTGGTAATTGCATAGAGAATATCTGTCTGCAGAAGAAGCTCTTGTACTATCTCCTGTAAACTCCCTCAAATACCTGTTGACCTTTCTCTTCATCTTTCTGTTTTCTTATGTTTGTCTCAAAATGTCACTTCCTGGAAGACTTGGAGCTGATCATACAGTTAACATTAGAATTTTTCATCTCTATTGAGTCTCCGTGTCTTTTCTTCAAACACCTAAGTATTCTGCTGAGTGACTGAAGGAAAGTAGACTGTCATTCAAACCTCCTTAATGACTCTAATTGGATTATAGTGCTGTAGAAATCAACAGCTTTTGTATGTTTATATAGTGGTTCCTGCAGTGTAAACAGACGTGAGTTCAAAAGTTGTTTTCGAATTTATGGCTGTTTTGTGCAGTTTGAGTCTAGAAGTAGATAAAGTTGGTAGAGTGATGGAGCTTTTATTATTGCTGTTGTATGCAGCACCTGAGACTGAGAATTTAAAGCAAAGTTAAAGGCAAAAACTTCATGGCATTTGATCTTGATGGTGCAAAATCATGGCAGTGCACAAAGCACATCATCAGTGACTCGTTTTAATGAGTCAGGCTCACTATAACTACTCAAACATTGTTCATCTTTTTCGCACAGGGCGATTGTATTTGGAGATGCACGTGTTAACCATGGGTTTTACCAAAAATATTTCTATTTGAATAAAACACGCTTATTATAAAGTATCCTCTGCAAATTAAGTTAATGTGGATATACCTTGAACATCTTTTTAGTAAGGTCTGAGACATGTTGTTACCCTGTTTTTCTAAAAATTCAGATTTTTCAGTAATGGTTGATCCTTTGTAAAAATAATTTAAATGTCTGCTAACAAAATGTTAGTAGATCTAGTCAGAAGGTAAAGGCTGTCACTTGCCTCCAGAAACTGAGTTTTGAAAATGAGAAACATACCTCCAAAATACGTTATTCCCCAATTGAAGTATTTTGATTCTTGTACATTCAATAACGCTTCCTATTTCTCATTCTCTGTAAGCCATCTCTTTGGCTCCTGTACAGCGTGCTGTCTCTTGGTAAGAACATGACTGTGGGGATTTATGTCTCGTTCTGGTGACCTCATTCTCATTCTTTCTAGCTGCATCTTACGTAGAGCCCTCTGCTAGCTTTGGAAAAGCTTTCCAGACTACTGACCTATGGTTTCAAATCTTTCAGTGGATAGACATTTTCAGCTGCTTTTGTTACTGAATCAAGCACATTGCTGCCACAATAGAATATGAGTAACTTTTACAGGAATACAAGAAATTTATTTTCCCCCGTGAGTGAGTCAGAAGTAAAAGTTATCCTAAATGGTATTACTTGTATTTTTTCTCTTTAGACTGATCTTTTGCCACTTCGAAAGTTTTTGCCACCTTTGCTCTACAGCTGAGGGAGAGATGGACTGTTACTGTTAAATAGTATTAATGATCTTAGATTTGATACTCAAAGTGAAGAGCTCAGTCCTTTTTTTTTTTATTGTTTGGGAGAAATATGAATGTGATGTGGGTCATATTGAGAAAAGTGGCTGAAGAATTTCAGTTTCAAAGCCTTTCAGTCAGTGCCTCTGTTAAAACATTGCATTGTATTTCTGGTACTAAAATATTGAAAGGTCACAATGCTACTATATTTTTTCAAATGCAAACCTAACAGCACTTAAAAATGTAAGGGCTAACAAAACATTCTTTGTGTAATAGTGCATTTTGCTGAGAGCATTTCTGTTATAGTACCATGGTTTTCCCCCTGCACACTGTGCACGTTGGCCTGTAAACTCAGAAATTATTTTACAGGATGACACCAAGTGATGTCAGACTTCGTCAAATTGAGAATAAAATGTGTACCTAAAAAAAGGTGTCTATTTGAGCTTTTGTGCCCAAGCTAAAGACTGGAACAAAGAGGTGTATACATTTTAACTTATAAACATCCAGTATATTTTTGAGGTAGCAGTCAGGGCTAGTACAATGGGGGAGTTGAACTGTGAATTGCTGGAACTAGGACCTTGATTTATTGCACTTTGACTTAAAATCAAGTCTCCTTAGGCACTAACGGTCATAAACCTTGTGTAAAACGGACCTGGTGGGATTGTTCTGATACTGTTGTCTCATAACTCTATGCAAGTTATTAATTATTAGTTTCATTCTTTGACCTTTTTTGTAAAGGTGAAGCAGTGCTCTGTAATAGACATGACATGATCTGGATCTGTGAGGTTAATAAAACCAGTTCTATTATACTTGCAAAACTCAGTAAGATCTGTCCATATCCCCAAATATTCCAAGACAGCACCCCAGTGAGTTACTTGAAATTTGTTTGAATCTTTGGAAACTTTATTGGTTTATCATAGACTTTGTCAAATATTTTTAATAACCTTTGTAGGAAAAATATCCCAATTTAAATATGTAGATGTGTTCATATTTTTGTTGTCAGTGTTTGGTTAACAGTTGTCAATCTTGTGTTTAGTTTTTCTGTAAACTTTGGATTGGCTTTTAATTGCAGTTGGACTAGATGATCATTGTATGTCCCTTCCAACTGAACTATTCTAATTCTCACATTTCAAACGGTGGCTGCTCTTTTTCATTGGTACATTTTCAGTATACTGGAAGAAAACACATGATGTGGGTCACATGTCTCAGTTCCTCCTAAAAGCGGTTAGGCTAAGCTTGGTATTTCTTTCATGGCTTGCTGCTTGCCTTCTTTTCTTTCCGTTATCCACCATCTGCTCCTTAATGCTCTTTGAGGAAAAAGTATTTTTGCCTAGGGGAGGGAGTGTGTTGTTTTTTCTAACTAGGACTTGGTTTAAGTCCCTACAACTATTTTGGCTTATATTGGTCATTGAGCAACTCTATATTTTAAGGAAGCTTGAAAAGGTTGTGTTATATTGAGTCTGATGTGTATCTTTCTGTTGCCTTGAAATATTTTAGGACTGGAACAGGCCATTTTTGTCTGTTGTTAGAATAACCTCTTGTTTAACCCAGGCTTTAAAGCAGCACTTTTCATTTTGTGTGTCAATCTCAAAACTTTTACTGATCATTGATAATGATAATGATGGAAGATTGTGCTTAGAACCAAGTTGATGTTGGTTTTGTTGATAGCAAGCTTCAAAACCATGCTTTACTAAAAGCTCCTATGTTCCTAAATGACTTCATAATTAACTCCGCATTTAACTTGTGAGGTTTATAGACTGTACTGATTGGAACAATGAGTTCTGAATTCAAGACAAAACATGCTGTGTTGGGGTTTGCAGCTCTTGCAGCTCACACCTCATTGTTAATAAAAGGAGTGGCTGCAATTTTTTTGTAGTGGTTACTTCAGATCTTGGAAAGTTGTGTGTGATGTATTTATTGTGCAGAAAGCGAGGAGGAGCCCTTCTGATGTATTTTTTTTAAACTGAATGATTGGTAGATGTGCCTCTGCACCCATCCTGTAGTTCAAGTACAGGATGTAGGGCTTTTCCTCTCTGAAGTCTTGAGTAGACAAGCGAAGGTGCTGAGATACAATCTAGAAAACCTCTATGATACATTTTTTCCTACAGTAGTGTTGCTGATGTGCGCGCTGTTCTTTTGGGGTTCATGGCAAACATGGTGTAGGATTGTTCACTAATGTAATTCAATAAACTTGTCTGAATCATTAGAATTACTTAGAGTAAACCAACTTGGTATGTGGCTTCTGTTTTGAAGCTGCAGTTTGTTTATAAGCAATGTGTTTTTAGAAATGAGATGCTGACTAGCATTTGTGTCTCTAGAGAAGAAGAGGAACGTCTGAGAAATAAGATCCGAGCAGATCATGAAAAGGCTCTGGAAGAGGCTAAGGAGAAATTGAAGAAATCACGTGATGAGATTCAAGCTGAGATTCAGACAGAAAAGAACAAAGTAGTGCAAGAGTTGAAAAAGAAAGACAGCAAGCCACTGCCCCCTGTTCCTTTACCAAATCTTATAGGGATAAACAGTGGAGAACCAGCAGACCCGGATATCCGAGAGAAGAGGAACAAAATTAAAGAGGTAAAAACGATGATGATGTGGTCCTACCCATTCTTGTATCTGATAGCAGTTATTTATGTGGCATTTAGTTGCTGTTATGATTTATATTGAAAAGAAAGACAGGACTACAAATCTTTTTAATAAACAGTAAACCAAAAGTATTAATGAACATCAGCATTATTGCATGTTTTTTCCTGGTGTTGGCATGTTAATGTTTCACTGGATAACAACTTAAAAATTATTTTAAGGATTTCTTCAACTTAGTGGTATGGGTTCAACGTGAGTTTGGCATTAACACATGGAACAGCAGCTAGTGCATCTTTAAAGCAGACCCTGACTTTAAGATCCATTCAAAGAATGGGATACGTTAGTGTGTCACAAGATATTTTAAAATAATGTTTAAAAAGTGGATTGAAAAGATAGGGGGGAAAAAAAGACCTGCTGCTAAAATTTGCCAAATTATCACATGCTTTTCAAAATAAGTTTTTAAATGGGTGTAAAAACACTAGTGGTCATTTATATAGATTGCCTCATTTATCTGTAAAACATTCAAACTAAGATGTTGCCTTAGGCTTTTGGTTCTGTGGCAGCCTATGCTATAGAAATTGCTGTTTCTGGAATTTTACTTTGAATATTAATGATGACTAGATGAAATCCACTCTTATAAAATAATGAACAACTGCTTATGATACATGAGTGATATAGCATAGAGCTGCATCACTATTTGAATCTCAAGTAGCAAATCCTTCCCCAAAAGGTGTGCCTATACCGTTAGTGACTACTGTGGAAGCTCTTTTTTGACTGAGAGGTTGTGTGGAATATTGGACCCCCTTGATCCTGCTTGGCTAGGGCTGTTTCCAAAGGACAACACCAAACTGTGGATTTCAAAAGGCTCTACTGCTTTTCAAAACTGTTGCCTCAACCATTTTTAGTGAGAATATACACAGAATCTTGCTTTTCAAAATGTCTTATGTAGGGTAAAGATGAACGGTGAATGGTATGGTCATGTAGTTGTCAACACTTCTTAACTTTAACTACAGGTTACCGTATTTAAATACCTTTGAGTTTGCCACTGATGGATTTAATGAATAGAATAAAATTTAGTTGACCAAGTAATGTGGAAGTACTGAGCACAGCTAACAATGAAGAAGTAGCTGGAAGAAACTGTCAACTAAAGTTGTTATAGATCAATCCTGGAATTGGAGGGAGGGTTGAAAATTAGTCTTTGCATTTCTGATGTGGTTTTGTTAGAACATAGACTGAGAGGAGATGAGAAGCTATAGGTTAATACAGAATGGCTATTTTTTTGTTGACATAAGTGGTAAAGTTTGGACAAACCTTGCTGATATATACCTGAAGGTTAGAGCAATTTGTGAGTAAGGAATCCCAGGTAGTTTAACTAATAGTTCTGGTCATCCTTAGCTGCAGTTGACACAAATTTCGTGCTGTAAAAGGCTTACTCCTTTTTTTGGTGATCAGCCTATGCATGCACTGACAAGCTGTCTTTTTATTGCATAAGTTGTTGATGGCTTTTATTGTGGTTTCTGAAGTGAAGTTTTTCATAGCCAGACCGAAGATTTTATGTTACTATGTGTTAGGTGGTTACGTACTTCAGTTAGGGTAATCATATCTTTGTACTAAACAGCCTTCAACAGTGTGACCACCATGTTTAACAGTCCAGGACTGTACTAATGTGACTGAACTTTGTGTATTTCTTGTGTGAATTGCCTTCATGGAGTCAGTCTTGTTAGTACTGTGGCTACCAGCTGATCTCCAGAATTTTTAAATTCTTCAATGCAGGTCATCATTGCTTCTGTAGCTAGATGGGTGAAGGGGTAGAATACAAGTGTGGAAGATCCGCTAGTGAGAATGGACAAAAGGTATGCTGAAGAACCCACTATTGGTGCATCGTCATTTTTGTTTGGCTTCTGTGTTTACTTCTGGATTTTGGCATCTGTTATGTTGCAAGGAAGGTAATGTGGCTGAGATAAAACATATATTGACAGTGTCACATGAATAATATTTTGCCTGAGACCTGTTTTTGACAGCATCAGATGTATCACAGAAGGCTGCAGTGATTCTAGAGATGCAAAGTGCATTTTGAAATATGCTATCATCATCACCGAAGCCTTATCTCGCTGTTTTTTGTAACCGGTGTAGACCAATACAAATAGTATTTGTAGATGAGATAGAGACTTAGCAAAAAAAAAAAAAAACAAACCAAAATAAACAACCCAAAAAATCTCCACGTTCTAGGAGTCAATATCTCTAACATGGGTCTACACCTAGCTTATGTAGCATCTCTGACGTGCAAGACATTATGGTTGCCTGAGACCAAAAAAATAGCACAGGGAAGCTCCTAGCTCTTTGGAGGCTGCATATCTGGCTTCAAAATTCCAGGTGGTCCTGAGAAGGGATTTGGTTCATGCCTTGGTTGACTTTGAAGTGTCCTGATGCATATTTAAGGAACTTCACTCTCACAGAACAGCTTTAGACTGTTTAAATTCACAAAATGAATTAATTTATACAGCCTATTTCACCTAATATCAAATGGTGAAAAACTATGTAGAATTAGGCTGATTGTTGGGGACTATTTGTAACATGCACTTAGGTCTTTACAATTGGGAGAAAGACTAGAAAACTTTCAAAAGGAGATCTCATTTCTGTTATTTTTACAGAAAATTTATCACTACTTTTTCTTTCCAAAGAACAACTGGAAGTCTTTTTTTTAAGAAATCTTAGTATAAGAAGTGATTTTGCAGTACTTAAATATTTTAAAAATACATATTTTGATTTTTTTTTTAAAAGTGCATATAAAAATAAAAAGTTGTGTAATGTTCTTGAGAGCTTTATAAAGCATTTGAAAGCTTTCATAGAGTAGGAATGTTTACTGAGCAGAGAGAGGGAAGCTTGTTAAGGTCATGGAATAAACCAGGAGCAGAATCTGCATGTTTTGTTTTTGGTTCTGATATTTTTATTTAGTCTTACATTATATCTTAATTGGAACTATGTCACAGAATTGTATAATTTGTCTATATTCTTCTAACAGGCTATTAATTCAGTTATTTCAATAAGGACCATTTATGACTTGGCTGATTATTTTGGATGCACAGTAACAACTTCCAGAAGTGAAGGTTTTCCACCTGCTTACTACACATACTTGTAGCACTTCTCTAGTAGTTAGCTTGTTTTTCTGGCTTTAAAAAAATGCTGTGTCTTTTAATTAACTAGTATTTTAAGAATAAACACGTCTGAAAATTATTCTTGCTGCTACATTTCAGCTTTGTATTAATATTTTAGTGATTTTTTTCATACTAAGTAAAAAAGAGAAAATGGTTTTATAAGAGGGTAGATGTAATTTGTATAATTTCCCACAAAGATTTTAAGATGTGTCTTTTTATTGTGGTTAATGCAAAGAAATTAAGAACAAAACTTATCTTCTGGAAGTCACTGGCTTCCCTTCCAAGTTAAATTATATATAGATTCCGTGAGTGCTAGGAATTTTCAGCACTTAATTTCCATTATTGTATCCTTTAAATGGTGTTCAGAATTTCCCTACAGTTTGAGTGTAATCATTACAGATAGTGCTTTTTATTTTAAAATGAGTTTTGTTTCCTTGAGGAGTTAAATTTTTATCTAGTCAAATAAGGAAGACTTTCTTATTCTTTTCACCCTACTCTGGGTTCAGGTTTTCTTTCATTTAAGACTTCACAGTATTGCCTTACTGCCAGCATTTATTTCAGATACTCATTAAAATAGAGTATTTTACACAACAAGTGTATTAATCCTATGCAGGATATTCTATATAGGTACACCTTGTTCTAAACATTTACATGTTTATTTTGAGGTCTCGGATTGTTGAAATTATGGATGTGCACATTTTACATACAAGTCAGTTTATATTACATACAGTATTGTTTTTGCATTTGTACTGACTACAGACCTCTGTGGGTGATTGTCAGTTCCCCAGGTTCCCAGGTGGTCTTCTCCTTGATTCTGCCAGTAAGGGGAAAGGGTGTGAAGAGGGGGGCACTGACAATCCATATCAGCAGTAGGTTCTGGAGCTTGTGTTGGCAAAATCAGCAAAGCAGGGCTAAAGCAGGTTCAACTCTAGCATTTGCATATAAGCAAGGAAGTGCCTACAAGGCACCATTATGGAGAAAATCCCTAAAACCCTTTCTGGGAAATCAGTGTGCCAGGGTACCTCTCTGAAGTGAACGTACAATGAAGTGTGTGGCATGGGGACTAAACATGATGAGTCAGCTATCTGTGTGCGTTTGCAGGGGTGTGATCTTGTTGGGATCATGGAGATGTGGTCGGATGACTTGCAGGACTGGAGTGTTGCAGTGGAGGGATACAGACTCTTTTAAGAAAAATGGGCCAGGAAAACAAGGAGGTGAGGTTGCCTTTTATGTGAGAGAGCAGCTGAAGTGCCTGGAGCTCTGCCTGGTCTGGGGATGGGTGATGAACCAACTGATAGCTTATGAGTAAGGATTAAAGAGCAGATAAATATGGATGACGTTGTAGGACGTGTCTGCTACAGGTGGCCTGACCAGGAATAACAAGTGAATGAGGTGCTCCACAGGCAGATTGGAGCAGCATCATGTTTGCAGGCCCTGGTCTTCATGGGGGACTTCAACTCAGTATCTGCTGGAGGCATGACATGGCAGGGGATAAGCAATTCCAGAGTTCCCTGGAGTGCGTTGATGACAACTTAATCCTCCAAATGATGGTGTAGCCAACAAGGGGGGGAGGTGCTCTGCTAAACCTCATACTCACAAAGAAGACGGGGTTTGTTGGCAGCTGTGGCTATAGAGACCATGAGATAGTGGAGTTTTTAAGATCCTGAAAGGAAGGAGAAGGGTAAAAAGCTCACAACCCTGAACTTCAGGAGAGCGAACTTTGGCCTCTTCAAAGATCTGCTTGATAGAGTCCTTTGGGATAAGGCCCTGGAGGGAAGAGGGGCCCAGGAAAGCTGGTAAATATTGAAGGATTGCTTCTACCAAGCTCAAGATCAGTCC